GTTTAGTCTAAAGAAATAAATCTTTACATAAAAAAGTTTATGTCAAAAGCAAGCTCTATATTTATATTTTACTTCAACTCATTATAGTCAGTAGTATTTTGGCAAACATTTACTTTAACTTTAAAATTACAATCGTTAAAGTCAATACAAATTAATTCAATATAAATTGATATAAGTTACTGTATATAAATAGGTTTGTTTGAGAATTCATAAAAAATGTTTTTATTTTTAAAATCTATTATAAGGTTTTATCTGTTTGTATGATATGTATTATATTGAATTTCAAATAATATTTATTTTTAGAATTGCTTTGATTTGTGTTTTATAACTATAAATAAAAATATTTTACTTTCTATTTGTTCATCATTTGTATCTCAATGCCTAATACTATATAAAACTTTATTCTTCACTAGAAATGGGAAGATTGGGTACATTTCTGGTGGTTATCTCAGGTGTGATCACAATAATAATCGGTCTCATATTCATCGAGGGGACAGTCCGTTTATATAGGAGCTGGCCATTAAAGTCCTATTGTATAGCCGTCGCTACTATCGCAGTCTTCCCGGTATTTAAAAAATATTTAATTTTATTTTTATTAAAAATTCTGTGTACTTTTGTAAATTGATATGAATTTGATATATACCGGTGCTCTCACTTAAATTAATGACTCGTTTACAATAGTTTGTGAAATTAGTGAAACATTTTCATGAAAATATATATTCTCAATGCATATACGGTATTATAATTATATTAATTACAACATTAAAAAATTCATTAAAATGAATGAATGAATAAGAAGTGAAATGCAGATAATTCATTGTTTGCGAGAAAATTTTGTTTTGTATAGATATATAACAAATTCATTGAAAAAACTTATAAGATTAATAATAATGGTCTATCGACTACCTCCCGGTGCGCATAATTATAAGTCTAAATCTATGCAAAAACAAGGGATTAATTCCTCTATTTGCAAGAATCAAGAATATTCTGTTTAATTAACTACTTTTTCGTTTATACAACAATCCCATTATAATAAAATCTTTTTGTTTTGAATAAGACTTTATTGAAAACACAAAACAATCAAGTATTGGATTTTATTAACAAGTATTCATATAAACATATCTATAAATACCTAGTACAGTACCATTGCCAGACATACCGTACAAATGTTTTCCGAAGCTAACATTAATATATAGATATAATGTATGTTTTCATTAATTATTAATTGACTTTTAATACGATTTCAATACGTGAATGATTTATTTTAGGCATACTAGTATTATGAGTAAACTTTTTTGTGTGTTTATCCAATGCATGTGATTAATAGACAAATCATTTATAATTAAATCACAAAGCATTTGATCGATTTTATGTGAAAAATAATATTTATATTTAAATTCCGAAAACCATTTGCAATTCAAATGAGATTTTTAATATAAATAATATGAAAAAATGAAACTTCCAAAAACAATAGACTAGAAAAATAATAGACCATACTTTGCATTTAGAAAAATAATTTTCTGCTTTTATGAGAGTTAATCTCATTTTGTGAACAGATAACAAAATCGTAGTTATTTAATATACCGGATAATTGACTCGTTATATAAGGATATAATTAAAGTATTTTCGTAATACTCTTCAAACACACAATAATACTAATCCCTAATAGTTATTAGAGGTATCAATGAGAATGGACCGGGTGAATTGCAAAAACAACATACATCTATACTTAATCTCTTAATGTGAATAACGAAATGTCTGTTTTAATTGATAGATCGCTTCTCTATGTTTTTTGTTGTCAATACTGATGCCGAGGGCTCACGACGTGAACACGACGACCGCCACTCTATACCAACCGTTAAGTTTAGTACTGTTTTACAAACTAGTGATCAGTTATTTCGGACGCGAAGAGGCATTGAAGCAAACACTGGACGGACAGCTCATGCCGTTAAAAGGACCGCCTTTTTATGCCCTCTGCATCTGTCTTCCCACCACTTACATGAATACGTAATCCAATTATTTGTTAATTAAACACTGGTTTTGTTCACACATAATGTCTGTGCATTTCAATTGAAGTAATCTTGTGAGGCATTTCAGATTATAGATGGTAGATACATTAGTATGACTTAGAATGTGACTTACATTATGTGAGTTTAACTGGGATATTTTAGTTGAGACACATAAATTATAAAAATTATGGCTAACTTGTTTATAATTTAAAGCATAAATCTAAATATTTTCAATCCATTGAAATAGCATTTTTAGTACACATTATAGTGCACAAAACTGATTTATTATATTAATACATTTTTCCTATGAATTTCTATATTTCTAGTAAATATTGTATTACAGAATATTCTATTGTGAAAAATTTTATATTCAATAAGAGTAAAATATTTCCCATTTGAAAAATGTTTTATAAATTATAAATTGTTTGCAACTATTGTATGAATTATACAGTAGATTTAAACCAGAAACAATATTTGATAAAGCTTTATATTAAAACCCNTTGAAAAATGTTTTATAAATTATAAATTGTTTGCAACTATTGTATGAATTATACAGTAGATTTAAACCAGAAACAATATTTGATAAAGCTTTATATTAAAACCCTTTGCATTAAGCTAAAGGTTTTGATTGAAAAAATTTCAATTTATCATAGAGTATAGAAATCAAAATATCACATTCAGTCTATTCAAACAGATTTTATTATATAATGCTATGTGTGAATAATGTCTTCATTTTGTTTGCAATCAATGGTTAGTACTGTATAAGAAATATAGTGCAAACATTCATTGATAGGGTTATGTCATAAGACATTCAATAATTGTGTTTTCATATCATATACCGGAATATATATATATATTTCTTTCGTGTGTTTATTTCAATAGGAAGTTATATTACCTGATGAAGGCCTGTATCTATCAATTATTTATGGCGCCCTGTTTTCTATACTTTGCGATGGGGGTGGCCAGTAAGACAGGGGTCTATGTCGCCGGTCAGGTATGTATTCATCACTATATTTTGTTGCTGTTATGTAGGCTTTTAATTTCATTTCTCATATTAATTGATGTGTTTATCAGATGTCATGTTACTTATTATTATATCGTGTGGTGTCTGTCAGCAATATAATTGGGAATATTTCTAAGAATTTATTCTATACTCAAATTCACATTATTTTAAGTCATGTATTAAAATATGACTTAATACAAAATACTTTTATAGAAAATAACTTATACATTATAATTTATAATTTCTAAATATAAGTTATTCATACTTTTATTGTATGAAAGTCTCAATATTTAATCAGAATTTTGTAGAGAATATTTTGCAATAATTTTGATACAGTGATAGATAATAAGTGGGTGGTTATACCTGTATTAACATATCATTTGCATTTTGAAACTACTATCAATACATGGTATGAAAGTCTTATTTATATAATTACTACCAGAAAACACCACTGTGATATATCAATAAATCGCATGCATTTAAGTAATTGAAAACCATTTTCTACATAAATATTTAATCTAATCAATCATTTAATGGATTTTGAAAACTAAGTTTTTACTTAATTCTAAAGTAACTATCATTTAAGTGAACTTGATATATAAAAACATAAAAACTTTTATAAGACTTAAAAAATAAAATACACTAAATAAATATAGTTTTTAAATACAGAATAATAACTACAGTATGAACATGATACAGTACTTTAATCAATAAAAATAATAATACAGGGTATTATACTAGGATACAATGTCCAACTGAATTATATGTAATTTATATGTATTGTCCAATAGTTTTCATTTGAAAACGCGGCCATTTATATCCTGGTGTTGGGCGGCCTGTCCTTTTGCATCGGCATCTACTCCCTGGAGATCTACTATAAGATGACCCAGACACTGTTACCTGGCTTCTACATTCGCAGCAAATACTATATTTTGCAAATGTATTTCGTTATAACGAGATTTCATGTACTCATATTTGACGCGTTGGGCACCAATGGATACCTGCCCTGTCGGCCACCCATCTCATCATTCGTCTACGGACTCTGTAAGTCATTTGCATATTAATCAAACCTATTTATTATACAGTATGACTGTCCCCACTTATGGCAAATCATGAGTTTTATAAGTAATTGTGTGATGAAGTCATAACACAAATAGAGCACAGATTTGAACCAAAACTCAACCAATTCTCCGAAGACTCGTTAAATATTTTTTGTTTTCCACGAATATAATTGTTTTCAAACAAATTATTACCGTTTAATGTATTGCGAGTATTGTATCTGTTGTTCATTTTTCATTTAGGAGTTTCTTATTACAGAAATTAAGTCTTTTTGTGATTTGTTTTCCAAAGAAAATTGCAGTCATTTCTATGTATTTCGCTTATTTTATAACATTTTGTATTAAAGTTTTAATTATATCGTCTAATGTACTGATGGTAAGAGACAAATCATGCCTTTCCACTGAACTGACCCTTTATTTTTTTGATGATACATGAAAAGCACGAAACAATGGATTACTTAATCTATTTCTCTGCCGTAACACAAAAATTGTTCCCATTTTCATGTTTTTTGTGTTCAAATTGTGTTTAACAAGAATTGAAAATCAATTACTTATAGTCAGTACTGCTATTGTATTTTTCGTATGCAATTAATTGCCATTTCATTTTGAGTACTACTTGTCGTGACTTAACATATTATACTTAATGTCCAGTTTATAGATTAGTTTTACAAACGTAGTCCTAAACAAACATTTTGATGTATGTGTGTATAAATACTAAAATATTTGTAATTCAAGTGTAATTTTGAACATATAATACTATTCATATCATAATTGCCTAACAATTTCTTCATTAGTGCATTACAGATGTAATAATCGTTAAAATGATTTTAAAAGTTTGTAAGCAAAAAGTTTTAATAGCTTTTAAAGTGAACAAAAGAAAAAAATTAAAATTATTTCATTGCTTTTATTGAACGTATAAATTGAGTTTAGTTTGAGTTTGAAATTAGGAATTTAATAAAAACACAAATACCCAGTATGAAATACAAATAATAACAATAATCGATACAACGGCACAAATGTACAAATGGAGTATAACTGCAATTCTTATACAGTATGTAAAAACACAAAACTGTTTCATAGGCCATAGTCGAGCCAATTATTTATTGATTTTCGCCTATAATAACGATAATACACTTCATAATAACCTTCAAATATTCTGATCCATTATATTCTTTGAGACTCTTATCGCTAAATTCCTATAAGTTTAATGTATAGAAAAAACTCTTTTATTCATTACATGCCATTCCAAAGGCACAGAATATTCTGTATTCTTGTGTGTAATATATAAGTGTAATACTATAGTCAATGATTGTGTGCGAGTAGTGTGAGCTATAAACTAATGAGAATTGTCGGCACTTTTATTATATTATAAAAATGGTGATATAATGAGCTCATGTAACATACAATTATGGGTATATAGGCATGAGTTTTACATTTAATTTTTTAAATTTTTTTCTCGCCTTTGAGTCCACGATTCGTACAAATTATTGATTACTTAGGAAACTCTATGAGTTGAGAATTAATTGTTTTAAATTTGTTGCCAAAAAAAGTGTTGGAAATGTGTTTCTGTTTGTCTCGTATTATAATTAATGATTGGATTCTAGGCTTTAAGAATACACAGAAAAATAGACTAAAAGTTATTAATCTTTTGAGAAGTTTTTATTATAAATGAAAGTAAATTCACTCAATATATTACTACACAACACGTAACTATGTTTTGAAAGGGAAATCTAGTCCATAATTATCAAGCAATGTATTAAATCTGTAAAGTTTTGGAGTATTTAAAATAATGTACTTTTAATATACATATTTCAAAATCGTTTTTTTGATATTTTGGTGTTTATTCATGTGTCCCCTACTTCTAACCACTAGTTATCTATGGAAAGTCATAAAACAAAAGTACTTTTTTGTGAATAAATTTTTGTGAAAATTTAAAATATATGGAAATCCCTTTATTCAAAAAACTTTATGAGAATATTATGTGAAAGTTATATGAATTTCTGATTACAAAAAAACTACTGAACATTAGCTGACTGTCCAAATGCATTGAACCGCAAAAATAAATGTGAGCTATAAGTGGATAAATCAGTAAAAACTTCTCTAATATAACATTTCCACACAATTTAAGTTGTATTTTATATTTATTGTCACTTTCGTTGCGTTCGTAACACTTATTATATACAAGTAGCATGGTCATTAATATTTATTATGATATTTGTTGTACAGATCTGCGAAACTCGTTACTGCTATTTGAATCGCTACTGTTGGCACTGTTAGCCAGGTATATATTTCTGAGATTAGCGCCAAACCGACGATTAGACAACTATTGCGAATCGATGGCCGACTCTATCACATGACAATCAATCGCACGCAACGATTACGGCACTACTGGCCCCCAAAATACCAGTGCCGTTAGCGTCCTTATAGTCGGCGATGGTGTGGACAATGGGAACAGTACTACAGAAGTTAGTCTTAGTGCTCACAATAATACTACTATTAATAGTAACCAAACTAATGGTCAGCAATACATACGAATAGATGGTTTAAATGCCAATAATAGCCACATTAGAGACATATCCACTGATACTAATA